CGCCCCACGACCGGCCATTTAATCCTGGCCACGGTCACGGACCCACGCCCCCCCGCCCCTGGCCAGCTGGGACACCCCAAGGCAGCCCCTCCAGGACCAGCTACAGAAAACACAGCTCTACTGGAATACGCCGATCTGGGCTCCACGCTCAGAACGCAGAATTCTAAGACAGAACAGCGGATCGCGGGCCCTGCCCTTGGCAATGACCCCCAGAAGTGAGAGGAGGCCACACCCACAAGTGCGAGAAGAAGCGGGGAGCTCTACGCCGTCACCTCCCTCGGCCAGGCCGGCACCCACGGCCGTCCACCCAGGCTCTGTGTCTCTGGGCCTCCGCCCTCACCGTCGGCCCCCCTGAGCACCAGGGAGTCAGATTCAACAGCCTCCTGGCCCTCGCTGGGCCGCTGGGAGGTGGGGCTGCCACGGGGCCCGTGCCACCTCGGCTACGGGTGGCCCGTGCCTTTCCACGCCGGCAGGGCAGTGCCACGGGAGGGCCGGCGAACGGCCTCTCCTCCCCACCCAAGGGACGGCAGCGTTTGCCGAGCTGACAGGGTGATCTCTCCTGGATTTACGGGGCCCCATGGCTGCAATGGTCGGAGCACTTATGGAGGGCATGTTTAAGCAGGCCGCGAGCCCGCAGCCGCCCCGCCACCCCGTTATTCCTGAGGCATAAATAACCGTTACGGGCTGGCGATGGCCCCCGAGGGTGCACGGAGCTTCACAAACAACGGGATTTATGCGGCACGGTTCCTCGGGCCCCCTGCCAGGTGGTCCGTGTGTGTGCACAGGACTGGGCCCACTCAGTGGCCCCTCAGTCCGGCCACACGGCCACAGAGCGTCTGCGGGAACCCCAGTCTTTGGTCCCTCGATGCCCCGTGAGTCCAGCTGGCCTCCAGGGGCCGAGGGTCGAGGCTGGCCTCTCTTCCACCAGGAAGTGCGCGGGGGGCAGCAGGGCCCCCTGAACGGTTACGTGGGAGGGGCGTGACCTGGCAAATCGTGCTGAACTTTTTGGGGGTCTGGGGTTTGCTGAGCACAGCTCACCAGGAGCCCCCCGTGCCCCAGCTCCACGTTCCACCGGCCCCGCCCTCCGCCCACACTCCAGCTCTGGCCTGCCTGCGTGGCCCACTCTCTCCATCCGCAGGGTTCTCTCCTTGGAGACGTCGTCTCTCCACGGAGATAGGATCTTTTCTTTCCAGACTGAACCCGTCTGAGGGGGGAGCTGCCACTCTTCCTGGCCCAGCGTCCGGTCTGGACATCCCGCCCTCTCAGGTCCTGCTGCGGCAGCCAGAGATGCCCGAGGACCGTCGCAGAGCTCAGAAACGGCCACCGTGAGGACGGGGCGCGATCTCCTCTCTCCGGCAGATCGGGGCAGCCGATCGACGTGCGCACTGTTTTCTAAGGGGCAGGACCGTGGCTGGGATTGCAACGGCGCTGGGTCTTGGGCCCGGGCTCCGGGCCAGCGGTGCCGGCTTCCACGGACCCCGTGGTGGAGGAGGAGCCGGGTCCTTCCAGCTCTGGGCAAAAGGTGGAGCCATGGGGGCTCCCCTCAAATCTCCGCCCTTTCCGTACGGCGGCAGCCCTCGCGGGGAGAAGAGGCAAGTGGCAATGTCGGGAGCCACTTTCGGTTGTGACAAGTAGGTGGGGGCCCGGCAGCTGGTGGGCTGAGGCCAGAGGCGCCGCCCAACGTCCGACAACGCACAGGGCACCCCCACCCCAAACCCACACGCCCAAAGACTCATCTGGCCCCAGGTCTCGGTGGAAACTACAAGGAGATTTTAGCTCGATTCCTGCAAGAGCTTCCTAATGCTGAGACCTTGCCACCACGGCCCGAGAGCTGCCTCGTGTGGTAGTAAGCTCCCTGTCAACGGAGGCATTCAAGGTGCAGCTGTGCCAGACGCGGACTACGGTGGGAAGGGGGTGGGGATTAAGGAGACTCCATTCTGTCACATCCTACGGGCCTTGGGCAGGTCACTGGGCCCCTCCTGGCCTCAGAATTTGCTTCTGCAAGATAAAGGGAAGACCCCAATCAGGGGTTCTTACCCAGAAGCGGGAGCCATCCCAGTGGCGTTTGGGGCGTGGAGGCTAGTGGTGACCGGCTGCCCACATGCCGCCGGCACACCCACGCCACCAGAGGACACGGCCAGACAAGGAAGGCCTTTGGCTCTGGGGTTAAGGAGCCGGGAGCTCGACCTTGTGCCAAGACGCAGGCAGACCCAGGCAGGCGGGCTCCCGGTTACACAGCACCGCGGGGAACTCCCGGCGGCTCCCGGCTTTGCTGTCGCAACGAGTCGGGGAAGGAGCGTCTACAGAAAGAGACGCGGGGGCACCTGGATCTTTCCGGAAAGCTCTCTGGAGCCTGTCTGAGCTGCAGCGGGGAGCCAGGCAGCCCGCACTGTAGCCGCTGAGGGTCCTGGGCCGACGAGGTGCATTTTCCAGCATCCCCCCCCCACCCCCCGCCCGCTGCCCCTGCAGGGACGGCCCCTCCGCTTCTGGAGGACCAGGCTGCTCTCCTCACCAGATGGCCTGTGCTGGCCCCAGCGGACTGCTTCCCTCTCTGCCATGGAAGCCAGGATGCTCCAGAATGCTCCGAGCCACATTCAAGCCCCTTCCCCAAGGACTTCCTGCTCTAGGAGACACTTCTTTGCCCTTCACGTCTCTGCCTTTACTGCCTTCAACTAGCGGGCCTCTGTTGTCAAAAACAGTCACGGGAACTGAGGGTTCTTCTGGGGCTCACGGCGGGCTGAACACAATCCCGAGCGCTTTTTAGGCGAGATTAGAAGTGCTCCTGGAGCCACCCTCTGAAGCAGATGCTATTACTGTCTCTACTCGCGGGAGGCGGGGAGGCAGGGATAATTTTACCTGCTGCCTCACGACCTTCTCACAGCAGCTCCCGTGTGTCAGGAGCGTGAACAGATGCCAGGAGGTTAAGGCCCCCTCCTGCCCCCCCACCGATGCGTCTGGACCCCTCCCCAGGGGACTGGACTCCTCTGCTCTTAAGCAGGGACGACTCCCGCACATTCCCCGGTCAGACCGCAGGACTGACCCGCACAAATCCCAGGGCACGGGGCCGCAGAGGGCAGGGGCAGAGTGCCTGGGGGAGCCCACCCCTCTGGGCGTCCTGGCCTCACACTCGGCCCTGGTTCCCTCCCCTGTAATCCCCACAGTGGCCCCGGGGGGTGGGTGAGAAAAGGACCAGAGGGCCCCCTGGGGGCCGGAGGGGGCAGTCCCGCCCAGGGCACCAGCCAGGGGCGGAGGCAAGCTCCGAGCCTGGGTCCCGCTCTCGGTGAACACCGGGCACCTCTGCCCGCTCACCTTCCCTCTGGGCCCAGGTGGCACCGCAGAGCCGTCCGCGACACTCTGGCCTGGCCCAGAGGGCGCCGGCCACCCTCAGCGGACCGGTCCCAGGCACGCCGGGACGGGATGGGGCGGGAGCGTGCAGCTGCGGGGACGGACACAGAGGCGAGAGCACGGGCTTGTCACACGCACCTGGTGGCAGCTCAGTGCGGGGGGACGCCCTCCCCGGCCCGGGTCACACTGTGACCAGCTCTCACAAATGCCCTCGCTGCTCCGTTCAAAGCGCAGGTCGGGCGG